GAGTTCTTAGGCAGGTAGTCTGGGAAACTAATGTGGCCCTCAAACGTGTTTTGTTTGGCCAGAGTAGAGTTATTAATATGTTTAGTGTTGGGTATCAGGGATTGAACCCAGGGCTTATACATGGTAAGTGCATGCTCTACTTCTGAGCTACATCCCCAGCGCCTTATTGACATTAAAAAACAAAAACAAACAAACAAACAAAAAAACATTTCAACACTTAAAAATGGAGAGATTTCATATAATTCCTACAATCTAGACTCCGGGGCTCACTGCCTGGAAATGACTGGCAGGATCTGAGTGAGCAATACTCCCTGAGGGCAAGGCATGTGCTCTATAGTTGGCTACTTCTGTGGTGTCACTCATGTCTGCATGGCCCTTGCAATCTTTGACCTTGAGACCCTGGTCTAGGCATTTTTAAAAGAAAGCCTTTTGGGGGGCTGGGTCTGTAGCTCAATGGTAGAGCGTTTGCCTAGCATGCATGAGGCACTGGGTTCGATCCTCAGCACCACATAAAAATAAATAAATAAAATAAAGGCATTCTGTCCATCTACAACTACAAAAAAAAAAAATGCATCCTGACCTCGACCCCAAACACACACACACACACACACACACACACACACACACACACATACACACATACACAGTTAACTTGAGTGAAAGGATGTCCCAAACTCAAGCAGTGCCTTTGCAGGTGTGTGTGTTGGGGGTGGGGATGAGAGCGGTGGAGACATCACATTTTCATCCTCTGCCAATGTATCCAGCAGAGAAGAAGAAAAACAGAGGTAGGACATTGACCGAACTTTCCACAACTCAAGCATTTCTCATACATATTTAGCAAACAGAACTCACACATATTTTGCACCAATTTCTGCCTCAAGATGCGTCATTCCTTAACAATGATATTAATAGGTAACATTCTGGTGAATTCACACCAGGTTCCCAGTATTGGGTAAAGTACTTTATAAATATTGTTAGAATTCTTTCGTAACTGCTCCTAAAAGAGTGTAGGGGATCTATAATGGCTCCGAGGTCAGGAAGAGGGGGTGAGAGATGAGCATGGGAAAATAAGGCTGATGATGTAGCTTAAAAGCACAAGGGCGGAAGCCTGGGGATGTGGCTCTGCTGTAGAAAGCTTTCCTTCCCAGGGTCCTGGGTTCAATCCCTAGCACTGGGGGCCGTCGTTGGAAGCAGAAGGGAGGAAAGTGGGAGAAGTGGCTGAAACTCTGTACTCTCCAAGGCACCCAGCGTGTGCGGGGGCCCAAGCATTCAGGTAGGTGGCTCAGTAGGCCTGGCGAAGGCAGCCGCAACCAGATCCTCTTTTTTTTTTTTTTCTGGTTCGAGACTATTTCTTGTTCTTCTGCATCCTCATTCTCGGTTCTTCAGGACAGATCCCTCTCAAGTTGTCCTTTCCCCTACTATCTACCCGCATCCATCTGCTCACCAGGAGGACTCCCGCCGTCACGTGACCGGCGCCCAGATCTCAGCATTCTTCCCCCGCCCCCCAGCTGCTGGCGCGCACCCAGCTCTGCAGAGGCCGGCCGCGCATGCGCAGGTAGGTGCACCTGCGCGCCAGCGACAAGGTTTCGGGCGAGCCCTGCACCCTGCACCTACAGCAACGCCAGGTCCGGGTCCTGGGCTGCAGTGGTAGATAGTGATTTCGTCTGGGTTCAAAATCCCACGGGTTAGGCTTCCCGTTGATGCACGCCCGACAAGTTGTCCATACAGCCAAACGTCTCCTTAGGTCAGGTTCCTGAAGCTGTTCCTGGGCGCTGGAGTATTCTTCTTGAGCATCAGGAAGTCAGAGTGCTTGTCCAGTCATGCGGCTGCGCTTAAAGCCGTGTGACTGGGCAGGTGACTTGACCTGCCTGAGCCCCGGGAAAATGATAATAATAGCGCCGACCTTGTTGGCCTGAAGTGAAAATTCCTGAGAACTCTGCATGGTGCTGTGCATGCGTCGAACTCAGTAAATGCAAAACAAGAATATAGAACAAAGGATAGCCCTGTGTGGGCTGTGCGGGGGAGGGGCGTTGGCCCTTTAATGCTGATAATCTCTCTGGCTCCTCTGAGCTATCCTGCAACAGAGGTCTGCAAGTTTTATTGTTCCTATGGGGAAACCAAGGCTCAGAGGTATCAAGAAGTCTAGAACGAGATCTTGGATTCCACATGCAGTGTGATTCCAATTCGACACTGCAAAGTCAGGGGTTCCTGGGCGAGTTCACAGTCTGTCACCCACTCACTTCTTGAAACATCCTATTTAAAATAACATCTGTTTTGATGCTATTTTATTTTGGATATTCCCAGTGAACATCTCAGGTACACATCAGGAGACTTTTTTTTTTAACCATTCCTTTTCTTGTCCTTCCTTCTGCAGAAAATTAGGATCTGTTATATTTTATTTGCTGTGACCTTTGAGGAGGCCTCCAGGGCACAGAACCTAGGCGCTCAGAGCCCTGGATTCCTGAAGCCAGGTTCACCCCTGGGGGCTCTCCCTCCCACCTTGCCCTTCAGGCTTTCTCCCTCTAGACACACTGACCCCCCCCCCCCCTCTGTTCCTGGAAGGACCAAACTTCTTTCTGCTACTGGGTCTTTGCACTACTGTATGTTTTCTAGACCACTCTCTCATCTCCTCCTGCCTTTACTTAGCTCTGGAAACCTGCTCTGACTGCAATCCAGCCAGTTCACAGGGTCAGATACCTTCTCACTCACTATCATGGACCCCTCTTCTGCTTCAGCACTTTCCAGAAGGGTAACTTGGTGCTGAGCAGGACTCCTTGACTGCTATCTATCTCCTCAACCAGAATGCCAGCTCCTTGGGGAAGCTATACCTGATCTATAGCACATGGCCTGGACCTTGGTGGCACTCAGTAAATGCTTGTTGACTCACTGACCAAATAAGTGACAAGAGGAGCCCTTGCCATGACTACTTTAAAAATTCTACTAAAGAATTTTCCAGTATCTAATTTGTATTTTCATGACAGATACAGAACCGTGGAGTCTCATCAGGTGCAGCAGCACATACTTGTAATCTCAGCAACTCAGCAGGCTGAGACAGGTGGATCACAAGTTCGAGACCAGACTCAGCAGTTTATCCAGGGCCTGGCAAGACTCTGTCTCAAAATGAAAAAATAAATAAAAAGGGCTGGGGATGTAGCTCAGTGGTAAAGTACCTCTGGTTTCAATCCCCAGCATCAAAAAACAAAACTAAACTAAGGAAAAAAAAAGGGTAGAGTCTTTGTTGACATGTGCCAGCTGGATAAAGAAGGAGCATGTGGCATCACAAGAGCTTCATAGATCCCCTCATAAATTATCTCCTCCTCCTTCCAAATGTACCCAAAGGCTATTAATGTTCTGTGGGTAAAAGTAGCACTTTGTCTCTAGGTGAAGCCAAGTCAAGGTTCTGTAGGGGTAGACTGGAGTAGAGATGAAAAGATTATCAAATTGTCTTGCCATAGGGCTAGTGGTTGACTAGGACATGTGGCTTCTTTAGTATGTGTGGGGGAGAGGTACTAGAGATTGAACCCAGGGGTTTGTGGATGCTAGTCAAGTGCTCTATCACTGAAGTACCTGCCCAACCCTTTTCAAAGTTTATTTTGAGACAGGTCTCACTAAGTTGTCCAGGTTGGTTTGAAAGTTTCAATCATCCTGCCTCAGCCCCCCAAGTAGCTGGGATTTCGAGCTCTTCTCCAGTTTTTACATTTCTTAATAATATGAAGAAAAGAATCTAGCTTTTATAAAAAATTATTTAATGATGAATTTTACTACTACTAGCTTTTCTGTCCTTTGTGATGTTTAATTGATTCAACTTGGTTTTTATTTGAAGTCAGAAGTGAGCCAAGTTCCTTTTCTTTCCTTCAGTGCCAGGGATCAAACTCTGAGCTTTGTGCATGCTCTCTAGGCAAGCACTCTAGTACTGGGTTACACCCCCAATCCTTGTTTGTACTTCAAAAGCAATATTTCCCATCAACAAAGAAAGTCAGTCGAGTAAAAACTGACCTAGGACCCATTTTGGTAAATGTGGACTCCAGGGAGGAGATACTAAGTTCAGAGTTGATCCCATAGCACATCCCTAACAGATTTGGGACTTGAAACTTCTAGACTCCAGACTAAGATCAGAATCTGCCGTGTTGTGGTGCATGGTTGTAGGTCTAGTGCCCAGAATAGCAGTTTACACACATTAATGAGAGAACTATAAATATGTGTTAATGGATGATACACAATCTGACATGAAGTCATAATGCTGCTTCCAGTATCTGAGCTTGTTTTCTTTTTTTTTTTTCATCTGAAAGTGGAGATTAAAAACAATGCCTAGTCGGGCATGAAGGCACACACCTGTAATCTAAGCAGTTCAGGAGGCTGAGGCAGGAGAATCCAAAGTTCCAAGATAGCCTCAGCAATTTAGTGAGATTGTCTCTCTAAACCAATAAACCAATACTGGGGATGTAGCTCGGTGGTAAAGTGCCCTGGATTCAATTTTCAGTACCCCCCCAAAAATAATAATGTTATAAAATAATACTAAGAAATTATTGTTAAGGGAGAGAGAGGGCACTCACGTACCCAAGGTTATGTCATGGCTGGACAGCGTACTATAATAATAGGTCTTATCTCCGAATTCGTTCTGTGGGCAGGGGAAAAAGGATGACTCTCAAAAGGAGTAAAGATAGAACCATAAAGGGATTTTTGAAATATACCTGTGTCCAGATTTCGAGCGCAGAGGTTGTAGCGGAGACTTTAGGACCCCGCACTCTACGCGCGCCGCACGTGAGGTGAGGGGGAGGTCGCGCCTCCGCACCAGCCCGGGGCTGCCTCGCGCCCAGCCGCATCCCGGAGGGCGGGGCCAAGCGCCCGGGTCGCAGTGCGATTGGCGGAGGCGCGCGGGTGACGCTATGGGCGGGCTGGCGCGAGGCCCCGCCCTAATTGGCCCCGTCCCCCGCGCGCTCCGGCGGCTCAGCAGCCTCGCTCTGGCTCGGCGCCGCGCCCCCGCGCCGAGTCCGCGCGTCAGTCGGTCCCGAGAGCGGCAGCGGGGCGGCGGGCTGCAGCCTTCCGAGCGCGCTCTTGAGGAGACCGCGGTATCTGCGGGCGTCGTGTAAGGAGGCTTGAAGCCCAGAGAATCGCGCAGCGCCATGGCCCCCATTGGTCTCAAAGCTGTGGTCGGAGAGAGTAAGTGGAGTCGGGGTCCTTCCCGCAGGTGGGGGTTGCGGCTGCCTGGAGGAGCCCCGCGGTACCTGACCGCAGCGCCCTGGCCTCCGCGCCTGGACGCTGGCCCACCCTTCTGGGGGCTCCAGGCCCGCAGGGTCCCGTTATTTTGGTGCCGCCCTCCCGGGAGGGAAGTCCTTCCCGGCCTCCTGTGGCCCGGCCCCGCTCTCCCCTTCCCGCTTGTGGTCCCTGTTCCTGCCGCTCGCCTCTGCACCCCTTCTCCTTCTCCTTTATCGCCATCCGCCTTCACCTGCACCACTCACTCCATCCCTCACTTCTCCTCTCCCCCACTTCTTTCCCCTTCACCCACACCTCTCCTTCATCAACATCCCACTGTCCTTTTTACCTCTATCCCCTCGCCCCCATTTCTCCATCTCTCTTCCCCCCTCGTCCCATCCTCCATTCCCGCTTCACCCCCGACCCATCCCTCCCCCTTCACTCCGCCTTTATCCCAGCCAGCCCATGGCCCTCCTCTGCAGCATCACCCCTGCACCCCGATTCTTCGTCACTCTCATTGCCTGTCCTCCATTCCCCCTCTCCCCTTCCTTGCCTTTATTCCTCGAGCTCCCCGATTCCGCTGCTTTTTCTGTCTCCCGTCCCTCTCTCTTTCCCACCCTCCCTCGAGAATCGTGACGAGAGAAATCCCGGCCTGTGTCCTCCTCTCCTCCCTCCCCCCCTCCCGGGAGCCGAGCCGCGGTCCCCGCTGCGGAGACCCACCTGGGAGCGGCTCGGCGCGCGCCGCCCGGGCCACTCCTGCCAGCTGGGGAGGAGACGCCTGTTTTCCAAAGGCTCTGCTCTGCTGGGCTGAGCCGCCTCACTCCTCCTCCCCATCCCCGGGCTGGGCTTCCAAGGGCGGGGTCTCGCCTGGGTCGCGAACCCTCTTCCATCACTCGGGAGAGAGGAGAGCTTCTGTGGACCGCGGGAGGATGGCCCTACCCAGAGCCGCAGTCTGCAGTCTCCCTCTTTGCAGGACTCAGCCTGGCTTGGCTGACCGTCTTAGGCAGCTCAGACATTGCTGTAGGGAGGAAATGGCTGTTTATGGGTTTGGATGAAAGGCCCAGCATGAATGGATTTAAAAAAATGGGTGGTGGTGAGCGTCGGCTGCAGCGGAGTGAGGGTTGATGGGGAATATTTGGAAAACGGCGTTCTCTGTGCTAAATAAGATCAGTGATTATGTGTAGAAAAATAGCGCCTCTTCCATATTTTGGCGTTTCTTTATGACAAAAAAACGTGTGAGGACTGCTGTAGCTTTTGCTTACTCTTGAGTTAAGGGAAAATTAAAACTGGGCTTTTCTCTGTAGGAGAGGATAAAAAAGGAAAAAGAATAAAAATGGTGGAAATTTACAGTTTCCTTTCCAGTGATTCTCTCCTATTACGGCGCTCGCAGTCTTGCTCCGTGTCTGCTCTCCAGTGCTTTCGCTGTTGTCGAGTTCTTTTGGAGCTTCATAACTGTTTTTCCCTTTCCTTATTCTTTTCATCAGAATATGGGAAATATTCCTATTGAGGAGTCTTGTTGAATGACCTTACCTGACCTATTACATCAGAAGAATATTGTTATAAAAACTGAACTCCAAATGAACACTTGTTAAAAGATGCTTACAGTAACACCCGAATTATCCAGGCAGTAAAGATTCTGATACTCGTGCATCTGTTTTCTGAGGAGAATCAGTATTTAAGACTGGAAGAATCCACAGGGATCCCCTTATATCAACATCCTTATTTTACCCATGGGAAAGAAATGGAGATTTGCAGTAGTTAATGACTTGCTAAAGTCAGTGTTAATTAATTTTTTAAAACCTGGTGTCCATTTCTTTGCAACCTTAGTAAAAAAAAAAAAACAAAAAACTTTATTATTCTATACATACCATTTCCTTCCAATATCCTTTTAAAGCGTTAAAAAGTAGGGATGACTGGAATATTACATGCTACATTGTTTCAAATGTTATATTTGAATACTTCACTTAGAAGATAAAATTCCTAACTGTTGTAGAAATTAAGTTTGTGCATCCTTTTGTTAGGACCCTTGTTTTTCCAGGTGGCTCCCTAGTTCCCCTCCCTTGTTTTCTGAGAAGCAAGCATAAAGGTAAATAAAAGCAAAATGAATCAATATGCAATATGGCTAAAATTTATTACTAAAATAAAGCAAAATCACAGTGTAAAAAATGAAAGGAAACCCGTTTTACATAAAGCGGTGAATGTGGGAACAAGGTTCTATTGCTATATGATTGAATTAGGCATATATTCTAGAAAAATATATTATTGCAATCTTTTGTCACTGATACAGGTTAATTCTGTCTCCTAATTTGAAGATGGGTTTTTTAGCTTTGCCTTTTTCTCTAAAAAAATAAAGTAAAATAAAGGTGTTTTCTAACCTCTTGTGCCAGTTTAGATGTCACCTCCACACCCTGGTCTTCCCAATCTAAACTAACATCCTTAATCACTATTTATCTTTTTCTTTTCTTTTTTGCTATTTGGGGTTTGAATCCAGAGCCTTGTGCTTGCTAAGCAAGCACCCTACCTTTGGACTACCTCTCTAACCCTATTTATGACATTTTTTTCATGATAAATTAAAATGTTTATTTATTTTCATAGCAATTGAAATGATTTGTTCTTTTTTTTTTTTTTTGGTGATGGGGAACAGTGGCAGAGAGGGTGATTGTTTCATACACTTGAATGTTACTTCTGCCAGAGCAGGGTCTTTATTTTATGTATTTGGGTGCCAAGAACAGCAGCATACTGGGGACATACAGCAACAAATATTAATTTGTTGAATGAATGTTACTTTAGAATATGAAGGAAAGCAAAATAAATATATTTTTTGCAATGCTGGCAATTGAACTCAGGGCTGGGTGCACAGTAGGCTCATGCTGTATAACTGAGCCACTTTTCTAGTTCCCTGTTTTCCCTTTTGGGTTGAGCTTTATTGAGTAGCCAGTAACTACAGCTACAAAAAAAAAAAAAAAAAAAAAGTGGAGGAGATGCCAGGTGCGGTGGTAATTCCAACTACTGAGGAGGCTGAGGCAGGAGAATCACAAATTACTAGCCTCAGTAACTTGGTGAGGCCCTAAGCAACTTAGACCTTGTCTCAAAATAAAAATGGTTGGGATTATAGCTCAGTGATAGCTGAGGAGATAGGTTGCCTTTACTTTAGTTATTCATTCAACAGACATTTATTCAGAACTTACAAAGAGCCGTGGAGGCGCCTGGGCTGTAGCTCAGTGGCAGAGCACTTATCTTGCATGTATAAGGCACTGGGTTCAATCCTTAGCACCACATAAAAATAAACAAATAAAATGGAGGCATTCTGTCCATCTACAACTTAAAAAAAAAGAACCATGGGGGTTATAAAGCCAAATAAAACATGGGACCACTCTTATGTTGTTCTGGGAAGTTTTTCCTGTTACTTTCCTAACACAGTTTCTTGTTGTTCTTGTTGTAGTTTGTACTGGAGATTGATCTCTGGGACTCCCTCTATTGAGCTATATTCCCAGCCCTTTTTACTTTGAGATAGGGTCTCACTAAGTGGCTGATGTTGGCCTTGAACTTATTATCTTCCTGCCTCCACCTTCTGGGTAGCTGGATTACAGGCTTACACACCACTGCACCTAACTCCCAACACACTTAGGTGTGCTCACTATGGTATACTTATGGTCTTGCCCATCTAGATTATGAGAGAGAGAGAGAGAGAGATAGATATGCTGTGCTAGGGATTGAGCCCAGGGCCTAATGCATGTTAGGCAAGTACTTTACCACTGTGTTATATCCGTAGCCTGATTCTACTCAATTTTTAACTTTTTTATTCTAATTTTTTTCCCTCCATAAAGTTTTTTCCCTCTGCCTTGCAAAAAGATTGTAAGAAAAAGGAGAATTCCACTTTTTTGGTGGCATCTATGTATGTTAATATTTGATATTTCATGTAAATCCATGTTGTAGTCTAGAGTTCTCACCTATCCGCTGAAGTTTTGTGTTACAAAGACTCAAGCATTCTCAGATGTACTATATTTCTTGTTATTTCCCACCTATTACCAGTTTCTTCACATGTACTTTTTTGTGTGTGGGACTAAACCCAGGGGTACTTTACATCTCCAGTTCTTTTTATTTTTTATTTTGAGTCAGGGTCTCCCCAAGTTGCTGATGTTAACTTCAAACTTGCAATTCTTCTGCTAGAATGACAGGTTTTCATCATCACATCTGGCAAAATTCATCCTTTTAAGTGAATAGTTTTTTCAAATTTTGGCTGTCACACCCAATCTTGTGGCCACCACCAAAATCAGAATAAAGAGCAGCACCCCACCCTCTCCAGATTCCCTCCTGGTATCTGTTTACTGTCAGTCTTTCCTTCCAGCCCTAGGCAACCATTGAACTGCTTCTGTCTCTATAGTTTTGCTTTTTCCAGAAGCTGGGTCAGTGGAATCATATGGCATGTAGCTTTTAAAAGATGACTCCTTTTGCTTAGCACGCTGCATTTGGGATGCCTTCACATCTGCGTCTCTGCCATCTGTTTTTGTTGCTGACTACTGTCCTGTGGTAGGGTCACTGCAGTTTGCTTATCCATCCTCTAGCTGAAGGACATCTGAGTTATTTCCAGTTATGGGCAGTTAGGAATAAAGCACAAAACATTCAGACACAGACTTTTGTGTGAACATATCATATTGCTATAAAAATGCCTGGGATTAATGGGTCATATGATAAGTTATGTTTAACTTTATATAAAAATGTCAGTTTTTATTTTCTTTTTTGGTACTGGGGATTGAACCCAGGAGCATTCTACTACTGGGCTATATCTCAGCCTTTTTTATTTTTTATTTTGAGACAGGGTCTTTCTAGGTTGCAGAGATTGTCCTTGAACTTGCACCCCTCCTGCCTCACCCTCCTAAGTTGCTGGGATTTGAGAAATGTCTTTCTTTACCTGGCCCTGTTACCGAACTTTGAGAAGTCTTCAAATATTTATCAGAAATGGAATT